AATATACGTTGGGTAAGGGCAAAACCTGTTATATAAAACATCCTTCAGATCTATGGAGGATAGGTTCAGTTGCAGCAAACTTTTTACACTTATTAGGCCCTCCGTCTTGAAGTGATGATACTGAATAAATCTGTTCAGGGGCCGTAAATTGAAAATAGGCCTGAGATCTCCTTTTTTCTTTGGAATGAGGAACACAGAAGAAATGAACTGACCTGCAACTTGTTTCTCTCTGGTAATTGCTCCCTTTTCCAGCATTAACTCTATTTCTGCTGACATAGATGCTTTCTGTGCCTGGTTTTGTATCTTTGTTACCGGAATGTGATGTTGCAGCGGTGTCTGGAGAAGCTTGAGATGATACCCTTGGATGCTCTCTAATACCCATGGGTCCTGAGTCACTTAAAACCATTGGTGAAGAAAGTATTGGAGGCGCCCGGCCTGTGGACGGAGTGGTTTGTCTTTTAGTTTTTTTAACTCTGCTGCTCGAGCGAGCGAAAGCTACGTGCTGGTTTTGAACCATCACTTCCTTTGACAATTGGTGTATTACGGCTGAAGTTGTGAAAGGAACTGCAGCTGAAGGCACCACTACGTCCCCTGCTCTGCAAACGTGCCATAGCATGACGGTATGGTGCAAACCACTTTTCCTTCTGGGATGTACAAAAGCCTTCGCTGCTAATTTATTTGCTTTCTCAGTCTCTTCAATGTCTTTCATAATCGAAGAACCAAACAGTTCACTCATGGATGGGGAATTTTTGCGAAGGACATCAAAATCCACAATCTCATCAAAAAGATGTTGACGTGCCATAGCCAAATTCTGGCTGGCTGAACTTAGTAGAATCAAAGCTGAAGTCAAATATTCAACAACAAGATTTTTACTCACTGAGTCAGGGCACTCTGTATCCACCAGAGCATCAAACAGATGAAAAAGTGGCAAAGCTGACTTCAAAACATGTCCATGGGCCGACTTAAAGCAGTCATCCCCTGAGACAAGGGACAAATTAGCTTGCTTGAAGACCTTGTTAATCCCAGTTGGCAATTCTGGAGGTTCAAAGTTGCTTACTTGATCAACTGTTACCACATGAGACTTTACTTCCTCTTTAAGGTTGTCTGGAGACAGCTTATTCGTTCTAAGATCCTTCCACCAATCTAGCACTTTTTCAGATACGGGCATACCCGTGTCTTTAGGATGAGGGTTGCAGTCTGATGCACCCGTCGGAGTAACCGATGCAGTGGAAATTGAGGAAGAATTGTCATCCTCCCCACTACAGTGCTGTCGCCTTGCCTTGAAGACCAGCATGGACTACACATGTAACCCTTTCCAGACTCTGCTTGGGTATGACTGTGTTTCATTTGCCAGTCCTCACTGTACAAAGTGTTTCTTGTTCTGGCATCTGTATGACTCGCACAAGCACTTTGGCTCGGTCCCGTCTCAAGGTGGTCATGGCCCCAGGCAGGAGATCATTGGCACCGCTTCCATAGGACGTAACTGCCTCTTCGATCACGTTGAAACTGATGATAGGGTTCTGGAGGAGGTCTTCAGTTACAAGAGCAGGAAACTGGATGGAGGTATTGTTGGACTTCTCTGGTAGTAGAGCAAGGTTAACATCAATCCATCCCAAGAAAGGGATTGAGGTTCCATTGGCAGCCCTCAAGTCTAACCCCTCAGGACAGTCAAGGAGCTCCGAGATGGGTCAGACAGGATTGTCCTTTAGGTTGCTATTTACCCAGGAAAGACTGAGTATCGATACTTGGGCACCTGTATCCCAAAGAACTGTTGTTGGAACATCATTGATGGTACACTGGACAACACACTTCTTTCCAACCAGATTCCTGACTCGTGCCCTCTTGGTAGTCACTTGGCACGCCAGTTGATTAACTCTTGTAGGGTTTTGTGGTTCTTGGGACATTCCCGCTGCTGGGGCTACTCCCTGTCCCCTGGGAGCGACCCTCTGTTGTTTCCCTGCGGCTTGGATCTCCTATTTTGTTTGCATCCACGTGCAAAGTGCTCTGAGGACCCACAGTGATAACAGTGATCGCAGGTGTCACTTTGTTGTTCCCGGGAGCATTTCTCACAGCCTCGGCGGGGTTTGGGATGCTGGGGCTCTCCTTGACGGGGTTCTTGTTTCTGCTGTAGTTGTTGCTGAAGTGCGGCACCTTGACCCTTGAGGGGGGCCAAATCAGCAATGCCGGCTCTGAGGGCAGTAATTTCTGTCATCAGAATGCCTGGCTTCGGACTTTCCTTCCGTTTTGGCTCCTCCACATCAACTTTCTGTACTGCTGTGAATCTGGCCTGATTGAGCTTGGCCCGCCTCTCATTTTCCAGACTGGAGAAAACATTCATTTTCTCAAACAAAATCTCATCTGTTGTCTCAGGATCATCAAGATAGGGGCGGAGCTCTGTTTTAATGGCTTCGCTACGTAGACCGGTTAGTAGGGTGTGACGAAACATCTCATGGACTAACTGCGGCTCGTAGCGCAGTTTCGACTCGACTTCTTGGCTGGCGAAGATCACCTTCTGTCGGATGTTAAATGCTCGAAGTAGAAATGCCTGTGGCATCTCCTTCACACCTTGTGTGAGCTGGGATAACTCCTTGAGCAATTCGGTTGCCTCCCATTCCTGGTAGCGAGAACAAATGATCCGTCTCAGGCTTGGGAGCGAGATCTTGTTTCTTCCCTCTAGGTAACCGCAAAGTTCGGACCTGAAAAAAGAACTTTTCACATTGAGTGAATATGTAACGTACATGTAGCAAACCTTCAAATTTTAGAAGTGAAGCTATTCTTATTCCAAAGTTAGCTGAATCTCAGCTGGGGACGGTATATTCTTTCCAGTTTTCCCCAAATCAACGTAATGGTCATAATTTTCGAACAGTAAAAACTGACAGTGTATTGTAGTACCCCCGTGGGGGGGTGTCAGTATATAAAACTGGAATCAATGTCTTTGACTGTGGACAAAGGGCAGAAAAGGACACTTGCTGATTGTGGTGTTCACTTAAGCAATGGTCTGCCTCAAGTGACCAGCACAGTCAACAGAGCAAACATCCTGTCCTTTGGGTTCTACCATAAGTCCAGGGGTAGGGCCACTAAGTGACTTTAGGACTGGTCCATTTCAATTTTGGGGGGTGCCTAATTTCTCTATCCTCTACAGCAGCAGTTAGGTTTTGGCTTCATAAATGTGAATTTGCATAAGTGCCCGATACATGTTTGCCATAGTAATGCCTGCAATCTCCCAATGTTACTTGGATTGTGAAGAAATGGAACCTTATCTGGAAATGTGCACTAGTAAATGCTATTAAAATTTCAGTGTTAATTTGTTTGACTTACCTCCACATTGTACCGTTATAAAGCTTACAATATGCCAAATGTTTGTTTTATTAAGCAGTTTTCATGCAAGAATGTTTCTTGTGGTTTGTACTCTGTCTGAAGTATATCATACATGTATGGTAAGTCATACCTAGTAGCAACCTACGGAAGAATTTATATGATCAGTCTGGTTGCAGTGTACATGTATTTGCATGCGAGAAACATCTTGCTGACCTGGGCAGTGTTGACACAACTATCAGTGAAAGGGTAAGCCTTAAATGCTCGTAACACTGCAGTGTTGTGACGAATTATTGAAATGGCCATGATGTCATTGTGATATATACATGTACGTGTACATTGGACATTCTTTTGGGCGGGGAGGGGGACTGGTAGAACTTGCAGATATAACCAAGGATGAAACCCATGCTTGATAGGATAAACGAAGTGGTGTGAGGGATAAATGGAAAGACCTGCATTAATTATCATTTTCTTAGGACACATGTGCCAAGTTTGTTTCCATAAGCCAAAGTAAGTGGATCCAGATGCACCTCAGGGCCTGTCTGTTTCACATGGATCTGGGATCATCTCAATCAGTGATGAGTGATTCCAACGGCAGTTTCCTCCCTCTGTCTACAGGTACATGTAGGCAGCTTGTGGTGTCAGTAAACCAATGAATGATTCTTAATTGAAATATAAATTCATGTGAAACAAACAGATCTTTTGTATTAGAGTCATAGTTGAGTCAGTCACAAGTCAGGCACAAGTCAGTCACAAGTCACGTAGTCCTGATTCAGTTACAGCTTAAGAAACTGAAACAAAGGCATTCCTGTGTCATTGGTTATACATGTGTAGTTATGACTGTATTTGCGAGCTGACTGGAGAATTGACTTATGGACCGTCTTGTGATTGATTTATAACCAACTCAATTCCAGCTCTGTTCAGTGTTTTTCCTGTTTCTTCTGCTGCCAACTGGTAACTTACTTTGACCATAACTACAGATGTATGTTGGGTATGATAAAATGACAGGTGTGCAAATAAAATGTTTTGATACAAAGGTGGAATTAGTTGCCTAGTGGCTTTTATTTGTCTCTTTATTTTGGTAACTTTACTTTAATAGACCCAATATTATTTCCCGTTCATCAGGAAAACATCTAAGATGTTCTATGTATATGAAAGGGTTTTGGACTGATCAGGTAGATCTGTGTGATGGGGCACTATACATGTCTAAGACTTATCACCACAGTAGGGAAAGCATATATCTTTTTGCCTAACAGGGATTACAATTGCTTTCAAACATATCCGATTTACTCTAGTTGTAAATACAATAATTGAGAGCAAATGTCTGACCTGTCACCACAAAATGAGCTGAAAGTTGGCATTTTCAAAAAATGAGATATTGGTATTTTTTTAAATCAGCAGAAAGAGAGCTTTCCAATGGTACGTACATGGAACAAGTAGGGTAAAAGTATGAGGTGACAGTGTGGCATTATTCTGGCAGCTTTGCGTCGTTATTTCTGACATTGTTTCAACATTTCTGACAGGGCACAAATAATGCTATCATCAAAATTACTGAGAAAATGACATGTTAAAATATCTGATCCTGCTAACAAAACTGGAATTGAATAGAAGGGTTACTCTTTCAACATATTACAAGATGCCAAAATTGACCTCCACTTCAGTATTTGACTTTGAACCCTCACAACTGGAAAAAGCAGAATGCGACTTTACGCTCATTTTGTCATGCCAAGTCACATATTGACAAAGTACCAGTCCATTCAAACAGATAAATAGCCATTAACGCTAAGCATCATTTTAAAAACTTGATTAAGGCTTGTAACATCATGACAAGGAAAAACATCGTTTAAATTCCACAAGGGATGAACAACCAAACATTTTGAAATGGGACACATTGTAACACCCTGATGTGTACTGCACACACACTAGGCTATATCTTGTGTGACAACACAAATGTGATGGGATGCAACATCGCCTTCAAATGTATCTCTAAGTGATGTACACAGTGCCCCTTCACAACAGAGTTATCCTCCAGCAAGAAATGTAATATCAAGCTTAATATTTGTCACATTATGATTGCTATAAATCACATGTCCAATATAGGGTATAATATTACTACTAATACTTAATAACAATGATACAAGCAAATATGTGTACATGTACACAGGGCATATCTGACCAGCACTGAAGCACAAGTAAAACACAGAACATTCAAAAAAAGGGCAAGTTAAAACCAAACTCAATCAAAACAGAAACAATGTTGCACTTGGCAGAAGTCACAGACCACCGGAATAGTTTGTGAACCCCCCCCTTTGCCTTCTACAAGTATAATTTTCCTTTAGTGAACATCATCGGAATTCCCACTGATTGTACTTGGCAAATATGAACAAGTGCCCTGTGCCCCTGATTTGCTTCTATACGGATCAGAAATATTTACTGCTTTCATAAATCCAAGAAAAAAGACTGAAATTATGCAAACCGAGGGGGAAAAAACACAAGATCACTTCCAAAGATGTTTCAAAATCTTTTGAAACTAATGAATTTCAGGAGATGCAATTTGCATGTATTCTTAACGGGAGATTTACAAGTATTTTGGGAGGTAAACACTTTCTTCAGGAGTTATGTGTAATGTAAAATATGAAAAAAGTTTTACACGAATTAAGAGACCCAGAAAATGTATTGCATGTTTTCTCAATTTACTGTAGTCACAGAGCTCATTGCTTCAAATAAAGTGCATGTGAAAATGATAAATGGTCCATTCTACCTTTAAGTGAAGCCCAATATTTTTTACAGTTTTGCACATGAAAAACAAGTTTCTGGTTGGACTGTGTTTCTTTTGACTTACTCTTTTAATACTACAGAACAAAATCTGACAAACAGTGATTAACATACAAATATGGAAACGGAAAACAAATTAATCCTTGGTCTGCTAATGTACCTCTTACAAAACACTTTAATATTTGGATGTAAGACTCTATCACACAGCAAGGGCTGTATTGGAAACCCACCACCATAATGAAGGGCTGTAGTCAAGTCCAGCACGATTCCTTTTCAAAGTGCAGTCACAAAACCAGTCACAAGTAACAGTATGAAAAATAAGAAAGGAATGCTTCTGTCACAGTTGAAGCGAATGGCTTGTGACTTACCTTGAGACTACAAGAATTGTGATGATTTTGACTACAACATGAACTTACTTCAAACCTCAAGTTGCTCACTTTGGCAGGCATCTCCTCCTTCCCCAGTCTCTCATCAATCTGACACAGGGGTACAGTGCTGGCCAGACTGATCAGAAACTGGAGACAGAGTGCCATGGTAATGATTCAACAAGCTTTGCCTTGCCACAATGTGAGCTCAGTTTGTGAAGTCAGAAAGCCATGCTGCCAATATCTGAGAATGTCCTGCTGGACTGTTTCTTGAATGGGAAGTATTCATAAGCAGTGAAACTGTAACTCATTATTATATATCGGTACATCTGCAGTTGATCCACTCATTGGATGTTAGGGATTTCACTGTGTCGGATCATTTCGAACATCTCAAACAGTATCAAAATGCCATGTGCATTGTAATTGTATGGGATGTGTAATGTTAAGAATGGAGGCAGGTAGGTCACGGTATCTCTGGAACTATGGCCAAGAGACATGGCTTCATTGAGCATTGGCTCGAACAATTTAAAATTATGCTTAGTGTGCAAAAGGCAGACATGAAATAGCCGCTCATGCAAAAGTTTATATATGCTTCTTGATACTAGCTAGTTGAACTTGTGCATCTCTCTTACCACTGTCATAATGACTACATAGCTATAGCGCTCAATTTTGAATCAATTACTGCACAAGTCTATTTGTCTCTGGGGACCTGTCCATGGCAGTATACTATGTTTATGAGGCAGGTAATAAAGGGTATTGTAATATTCCTTCAATCTTCATTTGTTCAAGAAAAAAAGGTGACGTGTTCCTGGGTCTATGTTGACAGTACATAGTATAATTGTAGTGAAATTCATCACAAGTCATACAATAAATTTGGTCATAACTAAGATGAGATGAATAATGACAAAGGATTCCTTCATCAAAGTTTCTTAGTTTATTTAGCTGTTAACAAAACTTGAGACTGAATGACTGATGATGGACTAATATCCTTAAGCTTGCATTGACACCTGTTTGACTCCACTAAGCAGAGATTACACAAAGTCACCACATGCGGGTAACAACATGCACAAAATGCATGACATGAGAGTTGCACAAGTCCAGAAGCTAAGGTGTAACTTTGTAGGATCTGTATACACCACTGTGTAGCATACTCACAATGGACAAGGAAGGACACACTATCTGCATTGGTTTGAATGTGTAAATGGTGTCTTGTCTGGATATCTTGCACATGCATGGGCAGTCTGTATACAAACTTCAACATCTCATTTATAACAGACAAATGCACCGGTCTTTACTCATGGTTCCCTCTCCTCACCAATGAAATGCACAGTATGCAACCAGTTCTCAACTAATCTGTACGTGTGCATATTTCCTGTGCCTATGGCCTGTGAGAGGCTGTGGTGTGGAAGGCGTAATGAAGACTTGGATTTTGAAAGTAATCAAAGGTGTTTCTTGCCAGTTTGTTTTGGGTTTCTTCTTGAAATACCCCACAGTAAGGCGTATCCCAATGATGTACGTGACCAAGGCTGAAAAAAGCACATACCTACGAGTATGAAAAATGCTGGAAGTCTGTACAGTGATTGCTTCTATGGATGCCTAGGCTGTATGGTGACAAGACAATTTCTTTTGTTAGGAAATTCAGAAACGAGTATAGAGAGAAACCAAGTTGGTTGCAATAGTAACGAGTAGTGGTCAAAGCTACGGAGCCAGTATGTATGAACAAATCCTTGACATGCAGCTGTACTGAAAGTCAACTGCCAATGTAGGTGATCAACTATCAACTCTGGTGTGCAAACCTAGTCACTGCCCTCAACAAGACTGGTATCAGAATAGAGCAAACCATTAATGGTAGTAGGTTAAAGAGAGGTTAATATTTCCAGCCTCTGTTTCATGCTATTGGTCATACATGTACATATAACTGCATAATGTAAGAGGTTGAGTATGTAAGGTTTGAGATGAGTGAGGGAATGGAGAAACTACAGATTGTGCAAACACCACAATGCAAAAATAAAAAATCAACAACCACAAATGGTATTGAGAGACACATACGGAAATATCGCCTTTATTAATACGTATGAGGCTGTAGATCAAGATAACATACATCATTAGAGCATTAGTTTATCATTTGGCAAAATAAGCAATTTTCTGATGGGAGATTTTTCTATATTCAAACAAGCATCATATTGGTTATCTAATGAACTTGCTGAGCATTACATTTGAATATACTGTGGGCATTTGATTTCTTTTCGCCAAAGTGGCATGTTTTTCATCATTGTACTGCAATTACAAAATACATATACCAGACAGGCCATCACAACTGCATGGCAACAAGACAGCAATTGGTCAAATATCAATGTCATCCACACACTTTTTTTTCAACACGTCATGGTTAAGGCGAAGTATATGTATCACATGCGTTCTAGATGTGTAATGAAAACATAACATGAAATGGACTGCACTATAGTTTGTCACTGAAAATAGAAAATAAAAAGACATGGTGGTAAGCATGCAGAAAGGAAGATGGGGTAATATTGTACCAAGCATTACATTTCAACATTCCACTTATGTTTTTTTCTTTGTCAGCAAGTTAACAAAATTGTGTTGGTCAAAATTCAGAACCAATCACTACATTATGAGTAGTACTTGTCGCCACAAATTCATGCACTTGAGATTTTCCTTGCTCTTTTAGCCCCCCCTCCCCAAATCACCCAGACACTTGACAATGGAATATGTACAAACACCTGGTGTAATTGCTCTGCTTGACTACAATTACTCTTTGAAAGTTTTCATGTCTACAAGCTCACACTCACACTGTTGAAAATCTGGCACACTATTTCATATGAATTCAGTTGGCCAACTAGCACATCTTGGGTAATACAATGCATGTTCCATCAATCTAGGATCCCACGTAGTTTAATGTGTGATTCTCCTACTTTTAAGTACTCCTATCAAATGTGCTAAATCTGGCTTGCCAGTGCAACAAATGACACCTTCCAATATAGGTACTGTAATCTGGCACGCAGCCATTATTCAAGTCTGACATGGCTACTGGCCAAACTTTTACATTTTCAAAAGTTTGTGCTGAGCAAATTGTCCATTAGACATGTAAGGATGGAAGCATGCACATTGTATTAATATTATTGATTGCTATCATGAATTAAGCTGATAACATGCACATGCAAAGCAGGTCAACATTCATGCTACAATGCCATGCAATACATACCGGTACCCTGCAAGTGGATACAGCAAACCATCTGGCCCAGTGTAAATACCTGTTGAGGAGTTACTGACACAAACCAACCATAGCCAACTTTGCCTGGTTGTCAGCTTGGCAAAGACCTCCTTAGACCCCAGAAAACTTCAAGTTTTTAGAACAAGGATGTTTCACCTAAGCGTGCACAGAACCAGACCCCGACATCATGCCATGAAAAGGGTGCAGATGTGTGATGTGCAGTGACTGTGTTGGAATGTCAGTGGTAATGTTTGACCGAGCATCCGATCATGGATTCATACAGCCTGTCATCACCTAGTACCAACAGTTGACTTTTTACAAATGTTCAATGAGAGGAAGTTTTGTTTCAGAGTCTGGGCATGTCAGCAGGTTAAAGACAGTAGACACTATATCAGTGCAGTGTATTTCTTTGTCTTGACCTTGAACAGGTCGGGGAGTAAAACCATGGGTGGGGAGTGATTGTGTCCGTACACAGGGGTCAAGACCTGCACATTTACTTCAGAATAAGTTCGTAGGGTAACGTACATGGAACAGTAGAGATAAATTTTAAGCTAATGTGATTTTCACTTGAACCCACAACCCAAACTTAAGATAGATAAACAAAACTGTACCTTCAATCCATGAACACCACTTCAAAAAGAATCTACTCAGGACAAGGTTGTCCAAAGCACACAGTTTCACATGGGACAAACTCAGTCACCTTGATTTACCTGATATTGTCATATGCAAATCTACCAAGAACAACTTGTATGGAGAATGTTCTTCGTTCATCGAGTTTTGGATCTGAGAAAGTATGCAGGAGGCTCTGGTGGTAGGTTTCCAATGTTAATGGTTGGACTCAATTTTATACCAATAAGAAAAGAAATTTACAATAAATGCTTTTACAAAGTAATATTACAGATATTCATCCCATGCTACTTGAGTATAGACCAAACCTCAGAGTAAATTTCTGTCGTGGAAAATTCTTGAACTATTATTTTCCCAGAAAACATTTTGAATAATTTGTGCAAGGCCAATTGTAAAACTGGCAAACACAGTTGTTTCCATGTTGCATGTTATAAGATATTTCCAACATTTTATTAATGGTGTGTACCTAATTACTTTGAAGACTGTCCTCTGCACACATGTCCATGACAGATCACGCCACTGACTACTTTCACCAAACTACATTGGCATTAGTCTACATCACAGCTAAACTTGCACAACATACTGCGGCATACATACGAGATGCATGCATACAACGAACCACAACATTCTCTGCAAGTTAAGCAACAATGTGCGCACAATGTCTGGTAAAGCATTGCTGGCGCTGAGCAACTGACTACACTAGGTTCTGATTCACAGAGAGAATAAAAACTCATGTGAATACAGCCACCTAGACCCTGATCCGAAATGGCCGTCTACAAAAGCTCTGGGGGGTTTGGAATACAGAAAGAAGCAATAACCACAAGCCATGGGATGAGTACCTTATGATGCAACAGAACTACACTACAAAAGAGGCAGTACAAACTATTCTTTCTGGATTTTCCATCTTATTCTCTCTTGTTCCCCAAAGAGATGGCTCATTAAGACCTGGTCTCGTAAAGCCCGCTACGGCTGATGTACCTCACCCACTTGATCACATCGTGGTCACTATAGTTGAGCTTCGACTCAAACACTTTCAGGTAGCGGACCTTCAGACCAGAGGCTGCAAATGGAACCTTTAGACCATAAAACAAATAAGAATCCTCTTAACCAGTCTTTCTTTGGCCCGCTGAGAGTAACGATTCACCAATGGGCTTTGTGTTGTATGACTATGTATGTGCAGCTACTAAATTGTAATCACATTGACAGGTTGAATTCATTGGTGTGTCAGTGTAAGTGCATTAATGCAAGTATCTCTACCCAAACCATGTCCAAAATGAAGTTTTTATTTCAAGTAAATTTGTATTTGCAGTACAGCTTGGTGGGATCATATTTTTCTTACGGGCTCCTTTTATTCCTTGAATATCCAAAGCTCTTATATTTAATCATCCTACCTGCATTCCAGCAACATGTAATTTCACATCCAAAAGAGTTATCGAGAAATATCCCAAACAAATAGTTTCCAGCCACTCCAAGGCAGGTTAACCAGTTTAGGACTGGCTGAACACTTAGACAACTTCCCTGTAATAGTCTAATAGACCAATGAACAGCAAACTCTTTATGACAGGCTAACATGCATAAACTGCTTTAAGACCAATTAACTGCAATCCACCCCTGGCTTGATGCTATTTTACTGTTTTAACCCTAACCCCCTCGGCCCTTTTTGCTGGGGACCCTCCTCAATCCTCCAAAATTTTTTTGAAAAGGTTACTTGGAGGTTAGGTGTGCCTACTGCCTCAATCCTTCAAAATCCTCTGGCAATTCCTGTCATTTTGTTGAGGCAGTTCAAATGGCATTCTTAAGCAGTGTGGCTGATTCAGAAGAAATGTCGGGCTGAATTTATGCATGACTGAGCAAGAACAACACAAGGTCTAACCCACGACCTTTGCTCATGGCATCCTTCGACATCAACCAAGCACTTTTGCCATTCACCCTCAATCCTCCAAAATCCTCCAAAACTGCCCGAAGGACTTTGGAGGACTGAGGAGGGTTAGGGTTAATGAAGGTGTTGGTGTTCCTGTTTTGGCACTGTACATGTACAAAGAATGTACTAATACATGTGTAGGTAAGTACACAGAATTGTTACTGTGTTGGAACTTGCTGGAAAGAAGGTTTCTAACAACATGATGGAAATTTGGGTCAGAAATACAACTGTGACATAATTTACCGCGTAAGGAAATTCCAAGCTGAACAAGACCTTCTTCATTTCTGCATTTTCCTATTTCTGACGATACACTCCATACCTTATCCAAGGAAACACTACATGCCTGTAAAGTTACTCATCTTTTAGAGTGCAGACAAAGTAGAAATGGGACAGGATTTCAATTGGGAACGTAGAGTCAGCTTACCTCAAAGTTGAGAGAGATAGGAGGGCGAGCCCATTTCTTCTTGTCACCGGACGGCAACAGTTCAATCTCTGCAGTGATTTGAACTTCCTTCATGCCACTCATACGTTTGATCCTAAGGCAGCCATGATGGGATAAGAATTAAATAGTTCAAGTCTCATCCAAGCATTTGCCTAACTACAAACATCTACAACTGCTGTGGTTGGTGACAAGAGTTAAAGATTCAAATGATCCTAATAGCATAATACGCACTTTCTGAATGAGGAAGTTTACACTGCCATGATAAGTCAACACCAAAGATATTTTTTTCATGGCATGTGACTGAAGCCTCTCCAAACTTCCTATTCAGATCAATGACAACACAAGATACAAAAACTACATTACCATGTTGCTCTGAGTGCAAGAACATACAACTTGGGCTTCTCAACAGAGACCAGGCAGTGTAACTGTTTGAGCTTCTCAACAGGGACCATG